AAATAAAAATGTATGTCCTATTTTTGCAGAAGGAAGAGGACTAGATGGACAAATCCCTAAATGGAGAATGGGGACAGGGAATGTGATCTTTCCTCTTTCCCCTTCCACTGCCCTCCTAAGGGCACCGCACACTGAGCATTACTGTGCCCAGCTCCGTGCCAAGTTTTGCCATGCTGTATCTTATTTAATCCTGATAAAACTCCATGAGGAAAGACTATGTATATATATATATATGTATATATATGTATATAACCTCCATATATATGTATATAACCTCCATATATATGTATACAACCTCCATATATATATCATATAAAACTATGTCTATAACCTCCGTTCTGTTGCTGAGTAAACTGAGGTTTAAACAGACACACAACAACACGGCAAACCAAGGGCGGGTCTAGGATGAGAACCTGTGTCTTCAGTCCAAGTTGTCTTGTTTCCCTTTTCTCCCCAAACACCTCTTGCCGCAGGCAAGGGGCTGCCATCCTGTGAACGTCCACAACATGGTCAGGGGACTAGGAAATGCCTGTCCCTTTTCATGGCACTGTAGTGAAGAAAAATAATTCTAAGAAAGTACCTCTAGAACAATGTGGACTTCCTCCCTCCCCTTCACGAGTCTCTTGATTTTAATGAATGAGAAACTCCCAAGATACTTGCGGTGGCATGTGTGACACCCTTCCCCAGGCTCCCACCCTGCAGACTGACATAAACCGGATAGTTGTGATGTGCAGGCCCTTAAAGTGAGCTTCATCTCAGGATACTGGGAAAAGCAAGGGAATTCTTTTGCCTCTATGGATCGTCCCATATCCCCCAACCACCAGAAATAGAGCTCCCCTCCACCATTAGCTAGATCCCATAGCTGAAATTTTCCTTCCACGTCAAAAACCTGATGATCAAAGAGTGGGCAGAAAGACACAAACTCCACGCCGCAAAAGCGCAGCAGGCGTCCCCATCCCCATGCCACCCACTCACACCCTCCTCTTCCCACATGTGACAACACGGAAGGGTTTTCACTTTTCTCTGTTCCCAGCCTTCATCAGAACCCAGTCCCTGGGCTCAACACTGAAAAGAGAGGCTTCTTAATTCTCAGCTGAAGCTGGGCCTTAAAGTGGCAGGACACTGCCAAGCTAGTCAAAGAAAAACCACCAGAAGAAATGGTTTCAAATCTAGCTTTACAAGCACAGGGTTTAAAAATAACTCTGTCTTTGTCTGCTAGATGACTTTCCCTAAAGGGACAGCTGTCCTTAAAGCAATTGCTCAATTCTCAGGGCAAACAGATTCTTATTTTTCCTGGTACCCAGCACATAACCTCCAGGAGCATGCTCCCCACACCACTTCCGATACCACCTGAAGTGCAAAATTTGAAGCCTATAGAATGACTCCTTGCTGGCCAGGACACTTTACTCAGACACCCTGAAGGCCCCGTATCAAAGAACCACTCTTCCATACATGAACAGGGGGACCCATCACATCTTCACCACAACAGGTTTTGATGTGTTCCGGGAGTATTTCTTCAGGAAAAAAATGTTTATTTCTTCAGATACTGATTTATTCCCTGATCAGATACCTACACAGAGGAACAGGTTTGGGGTGCACAAATATGAAATGGGTTGGGAGAGCAGTCATGATAAACAGCTTTGAAAATTCACATCTTGTCATTCCGAGATACCCTCGGGGTAGTCCTCATCATGCAGTGACACAATGCACTGAGCATAACTCAAAAGATGCATGCTGGGCAAACAGCTGAAGGCAAATGTTTGAACTGTTCTGCATCATCTTCTGGTTACCCCAATGACTTAGCTTTATCCCCTAAAAGCATATAACTGCACTCATTAATTATTATTTCTTCTTGGCAACTTAAGATCTCCTGATCTTCTCAAAAGTTTTTCCATAAAGTATGATGGGAGGAGAAAAGTATCCATTTGTATGACAGCACCCTGAATTAAGAATAGATTTTGCTGCCCAAGTTGAAGGTCCAGGCCATTAATTTTCAACCAGGAGCGATTTCCCCCACCGGGGATATTTGGTGGGGGGTAACTAGAGATATTTTTATTTGTGGTAGGTGCTGATGGAATCTAAAACATAGAGTAGGGGTGCCTGTCGATATCATGTCGTGCACAAGGCCATGTACACAAGACTAATCCAGAGCCCCAAGTGTCAGGATTGAGAAATCTCAGATGAAATTGAAATTACACAGTTCCCAGAATGCTCATGGCTATATCTGTGCTCTTTCCTTCTGTGGACTCACTATCCCCAAGACTCACTTGGCACTTCTATTCTAGTCACCCCTGTGAGCTATGCAGAACAGTCCAGAACTTCCTCCTACTCCAGGTTTGCTTGACAGAGCACATCCATCAAGCCCATCCCCCCTACAGCTTAATTTAATTTCTCAGCATAATCTTTACCATGATCAATAGCACATGAATGGCAGAGTATGACTTTCATTGGTTGGGTTTTTGAAGAAGAGCTTTGACTTTCTTTTTCTTCACTTTTAAGACTATGACCAAGTTTTCAATTCAAAACATAAAATTATTTTGAAGTGTAGCCCGACTATTTTTTAAGAGAAATTATAAATTGTTTGTTTCCAGACCTGTGTGTACCTTTCTTTGGTAATGTGATAAAATGACACCCACACATGCTTGGGAGTTCCTTGCTATGAACCGCACCTCTGATCAGGGAATCCCCACGATGTAAGTCATCAACCACTGCAGGCTGTGGAATCTCTGGCAAATGACTTAAGTCTCAAATTCCAAGATCCTGATTTTTCTCTCTTGATAGGATCATCCTAGATCAATACTCATTGGGCAAAATCTCCTGATAGTTCCCTCCAGAGAGAGATTGTGTGCTACGTGTGGTGACTTTGGGAAGATCTTTCAGATGACCAGGATTGTCATAATGGTAAAATTTGACAACCATAGCCACCTGCATCAACAGAATACTCAATAATCGCCATCTGAACTTCTGTACGCACTTGCCCATAATTTCCAACATAAACCCATCAAATAGAAATCATATCCTTCTACTGAAGGGGAAACTGAGGCTCCAATACGTTACCTCATTGCTAAGGTCACACAGATTCCAGCTGAAAGAGGAAGGGGCCAAAGTGCCTGCTCCCTGGGACTCTGCTCCCTCCCTGTGATGCACGATTATTTCTGGCCTGGAGGAGTTATGCATTTTCTGATTGTCTGTTCTGGTGAAGAAGTTGAAAACACTGGCACTATACATATCTGTTCTTCTCTGGTTCATGTAAAGAGGTGTTTGTTCAAGTTTCTGCAGCTTCCAGGGGTAGCAAGAGGTTAAGACTTCGTTCAAATAGAATCAGTGGCCTGGAGTTTTCAAGTGGATTTTAAAAAAGATTGACTTGACACGTAGGAGTATTTTGCCTGTATATGTGTGTGTGTCTGTGTGTGTGTGTGTGTGTGTGTGTGTGTATGCACACCATGCATGTGTCTAGTGCCCATGGAGGCTAGAAGACAGCATTAGATCCCCTAGCACTGGAGATGGTTGTTAGCTGCCACATGGGTGCTGGGAACTGAACCCAGGTCCTCTGTAAGGACAGCAAGTGCTCTTAACCTTTGAGCCTTCTCTCCAGCCCTCATAGTGTATTTTAGAGAAGGGGCCAAAAAAAAAAAAAAAAAAAATCTGAAAGCCCAGAGGCATTTGAAAGGATGAACTTGAACTCTGATAGTCATCTCTAAAGGCAGGGGTATTTTCTTCCTCCTCATCTCATTTCCTCCCATTTAAGGCTCACTCTGTATGTGACAGAAATTTCTTCATGAGGACACAGAGTTCAGTAACCATCTCAAACAAAAGTCTCTCGTCGTCCTGCTTTTTGTCTTCCCCTGCAGCTAAGGCCTTCCGTTCAGTGACCTTCCTGTCAATTCATCAGTCTGAATCTTTGTTCCTGGTACCCGTGTGCATGAAATGATCTTTCTTCCTGTTCATTCGTGCCATGGGGCACTGAAGGCACGGGTCCAGAGCTGCCTCGGTCTGCACTTACTCTTGCGCACTGAGCGGTGTTGGGTTTTAAAGCACAAGGCTTTCTAGGTAATATTTTTGTCATTCTCATATTTCTGTAGCCTCACAAGTTTTTGTTTGTTTGTTTTACTATTTGTGTATGTGTATGCCTATTAGAAGGTGGACAGGGGAGCGTGCATGTACATGCAGGTACACGTGTCTGACTCAGGCTGGCCTGCTCACACTGATCCTCCTGTCTTTGCCTCCCCAGCACTGGGATTACATCAGTGCCACAATACCTGGCTTCTTATGTGGGGTCTGGAGATTGAATGTGGGTCTTCATGCAATCATTTACTGACTGAAAGCTATCTCCCCGTTCCCTCGAAAGCTTCCATAAAGGTGGAGTAAGTGTGATAAACAGAGAGCAATGAAAACAGTATAAGGACAGGTTGGCTCTCAGTCAACAGGAGGGCCAACAGGAGGATCTGCTTTTATTTAGACTCCAGTTCTTGGTCAATGACAAAAGGAGATGGATAAAACAAACAGCTGTCCCATAGCCCTACTGGCGGGATTCCCCTTCAGGCCACAGAGGAATGAATGTGGGCAAAGCCAGCCTTATAGGGTCTACCCAAATCAGCCAGCACGGTCCTATTATCTATGTGTTTGGGCCTAGGGAAAAGCGGCAGGAGATAAAGGCTTTGGATGCTTACATTAGCCCAATCATTAGCTGTAGGTTGGTGTATTATAAGCTGCAGCCTTTGGACCAACTGTTCAGAATTCTCCACCAAGTCGTTAAAATACATATTTCTGGGCTCTCTCCCCAGACCTGAACACAACTTTCTAAACGTAGGCCTACAGAGTCGGAATTTAACCAACTGCAGGTGAGAGACGGGCTCTCTGAAGGGGAAGAGCCTCCAGCATAGGTAGAGCAGAAGGGTGCTCCCAGTCCTCCCAGGAATATGTGCTGAGATCCCCTCCTATGCCAACCCCTCCCCTTCCCACCCCTCATCCCCATCTCAAGGGCAAATCTTCCAGTTTACCTGGTCTGATGGGGCTCTGCATACAGTTTGGAGATGGGATGCCAGTGTGGAGCGGTGCAGAGGCCCGGCTGCTGAGGTCCATGACCGAGGGGGCAGTGGAGGAAGCGGGCTGCAACCCGGGAGGGTGAGGGCTATGGTCGTGCTGGGACGGGCTGGGGGGAATGCCATTTTCTGACAGAAATTCCTCCAGGTCCATGTATTCCAACTGGAAAGTGTCTCCGTCATAGGGAAGGGTTTTGTCCCATAAGGTGGGTCCCAAAAAGGCCGACTGGGGGACCGTCGGGCTGTTACTCTCATCATCCAGCTTCTTTTCCTTGTCTTTATCTTTACTAAATGCTGCAGAAAAAGGGAAAGTTGAGCTTTGTTTGAAAAAGAAAGAAAAGGGGTCACTCACTACCCTGCCTGGCCTCCATTACAAAACTATTTCTTAGGGACACCGGGGTCCTCTGGCTGCTGTCTTCTGTGGATCTAGGGTTAAAAGTTCAGGCAGGACATGGACCTCTGCCTGTTTTTTCAACATCTTCCTATTTACTTTGGAAAGAAAGTCCTCTTCTGAAGGCTGGAGTGAAAACAAGAGAACAGCCCTCTTGTATTCATTGAAAGGATAAGTCACTGAGATCTCAGCTGGAAAACAGGAGACTCTCTTTACCTGAGAATCACCTGAGATTTTATGCATCTGTCATGACTTTGTAAGAAAATCAATAACCTTTTAGAAAATGATTACAGTAAATATGTGGGGCCATTTAGACTTTCAAAGCAAAGGTGTTGGTGCTCTTAGTTTTAGAAAAGCCAGAACTCTACACCCTTCCTTAATTCACTGTGCCTGGATCTTTCCATGTACTAGCTCAATTAACTTACAAGACCACAATTATCACCATCTACAAGTAAGATACAGAGCTCTGGTCTTAGAAGGAAGGGTAGAAGAACTTTCTGAGCTGGCATGCTTGCTCAGAAAGCCACTGGGACATATCTGTTGTTTTGCAAAAGGAATACATTAATAAAAAAGTGTTTTCTTCCTTTTCCTCAAACACTTAAATATATCCAATTTACAAAAATGTATACAGTAGGCATCCTATCCAAGGCAGGAGTGCTGCAAAGGTAAAGTATTCTACTCACCCAGGATGGATGAATGCAGCTCTTTCCAATCTGGAACTACCCCCACCCCCGCGCCCCCATTAGGTCTTTACCAGGTTCTCTTTACCAATATTCCGCTGTGGGTGAAATCTGGATTAATTTGCTTCTGAGTATTTTGGGGGGTTTTTGTTTGTTTGTTTTTGCTTTTGTTTTCTTTAGAGAAACAGCTTCACCGCCACTCATAAGCCTCAAACCTCTTCTGAGAGTGGACTTCAAACATTCACAGACCCAAAAGCCTAGCGCATGCACCCCCTACCTCTCAAATACTATTCCTTAAGCCGTGGGGGGGGGGGGGGTTCTGCACGAACAACCAAGCACCCCGATTCTTGCAACGCAACAGGCTGTTCTCTCCTAGGGGAAAAAGGATGCAAACACTCCGAAGCTATTTGCAGCTGAATAATCTTTCAAGACTTTCTGCAAGAGCGACAGGATTCGCATTTGTAACTGTGCTATCAAACGCAGGAGGCTGCACCTGCCCAAATGACAAATCCGTGGAGGCATCAGCTGGGTCCCCCTCCCACCCCCGGGTCTCAAGTGCCTCCCCTCGCCCCCCACCCTCCAGCCCAGGTAAGCCTAGGGAAGGACGAGGACTTACCAAGAAAAGGCTCAAGCCAGAGGAGGCTCCTGCACGCGGTTACACGTGAGCCTGCTCCGCTCTCCCCTCCCACCAGGAAAGGCGCACCGGGAAAGCTCTGGAGGCGTGCACCGCTCCCCGCGACAGACCACTCCCCCGCGGGCCCCCACCCCGCTTTCCCAGTGACCCCGCAGCGGGAGAAAGGAAAGCGGCTCCGCTCTCGTCGCGTGAGCTCCCGGCACAAAACAGTCACAGAAGCAGCAACACGATCCGAAGCTCCAGACTGCGCAGTGAGGACCCCCTATACTCAGACCCCTTTCCCTAAACAGCACCCCCACCCCCCTGCTCCTCGCCGGCCCTGTCACTCAAGGCTAGGATCCTGACCTGTCACTGTCAAGTTCACCTGCCACCTGCGCTCAGGAGCGCGACCCGGGGGGGGGGGGGGGCTGTCCCCCGCGCGGTTCCTAACGCCGCTCAACCGGGATCCCCTTTTCCCCTAGGCGCAGGGCTATCCGAGAGCTGCCGATTTCATCCAAGCGGGGCTGGGGCGCCCCAGGGCCAGGGGGAGAGGACCCGGGAGACCCGGCGGCCGCAGCAGCGCTCACCGTCTTCGGGATGAAGGGGCAGCTTCAGCGGGTTCTCCAGCAGGGACCTGAGCACGCCGTAGGGAGGCGGGATAAAGGTGGGGTTCAGGGGAAGCTGTCGGGACATTTTCTCCATCGCGATGCACCCAATTTTGTTTTCTTTTCTAAAAAGAAGGCCAATCGCCGCCCCGAAATGTTGAGCTTTTTCCTCTGTCCTTTGCCAAACCAAAAGTACTCGCTCGCAAAGCGTTGGAAACAAGGGGGGGAAAAAAAGGATGACTTCTATCTCTATCGATGCATCTGCATAAAATATTAAAATAAGGAAACTTTGGGGTTTTCAGCGCGGACGGTCGCAGGAGAGCGCACGCGGCGCCGCGGGCTCCTCGGCGTGCAGGATGCTCTCACCTGCCTCCTGCAAAATGTTCAAAATTGCAAAGAGGAAGGAAAAAAAGGTAGAAGGCAGCGCTCTGCGGAGGAGCAGCAGGCACCGCGCGGCCGGCTCCCGGCGAGCACCCGAGGCGGCGCCGTCCCGCCCCACCCCCCTCCCCGCGCC